CATCTGCCTGGGCCTCAGCCTCATCTTCTGTGAGGTGGCACAGTGACCGCACCTACCCGGGGAGGCTGTGTGGGAATGAGCCGGGCTGCAGGGGGAGTGGGGCTCGGTTAGGCAGCGTGAGCCTGGGTGTGTCCCGGGCCCCAGAAGCCCCAGACCCCGGAGGGCAGAGGGGCGTCTTCAAAGGGGAGGGGGAGGGCCTGGGCACCTCTGGTTTGTTCACCTGTCAACCTGGCTGAGGTGGCCTGGGGAGCAGGTCATTCAACCCCGGGAAGCCCTCCCAGCCAGGGTTCTGGAGCTTTCCGCCTGGTACACTCTTTGGAGCTGAGAGGCACCGCAGCAGTGTCAGGAGGTGTCAGGAGGTGCCAGGAGGTGTCAGGAGGTGCCAGGCCATGCAGGGACCTTCCTGGAGGAGGGGGAAGATGTTTGTCAAAGTGGGCAAAAGAGTCACCCCAGGTCCCAGCCAGTGGAGCTAGGGTCAGAGTCCAGGCCTCCTCCTGGCTCCCCCAGCCCTTGACTGCGTCGGGGTCAGAGCTGTGGGGGGGACGGTCTCTGAGAGCCAGAGTTTCTGAGAGGGGGGAACAAGACCCCAGTGTCATGGGGACAGGTGGCACACGTTGATTGGATACGTCCCTGCACTGTCCCCACGGGCTGATTAGGTGGCCACGCTGGGGTCAGTTCTAGCGATGGGATCAGGCAACCAGCAGCAAAGATCAAAGGGTCAAGGTGGTTTCAGAGGACAAGTCCAGTGAGGAGAGAAAACTGGGCGAYGTGGCAGAGGAGCAGGGAGGGACCSGGCTGCTCCTCTAACCCGGTGGCAGCRCAGGGTCTGGAGGGCTRAGGAGCTTGACAGAGACCAGAGGAGGGGCCAGCTGGGAATCCCCAGCAGAGGGGGGCAGCGTGTGGCCAACTGACCTCGTCCCCCTCCTTCCTCCGCAGCCAAGCGCCCAGCGCCAGCCAGGCCCACCATGCCACCTCCWCAGCTCTCCGCCACCCGCTCGTCCCCGCCAGCCCCGCCCCTGTCCCCTGGCTCCAGCAGCCCTGTGACACCCCGAGCTCTGCCCCGCCGTCTGGTGGGTAGCAGCCTCCGGGCCCCCACTGTGCCACCCCCATTGCCCCCTGTGCCCCCTCAGCCAGCCCGGCGCCAGAGCCGGCGTTCACCAGCCTCTCCTGGCCTGGCCTCCCCGGGGCCAGCCTCCCCTGACCCAGTCTCCATGAGTCTGCCTGCACAGGCGGACCTGGGGGCRACCACAGGGGACAGAGGGGTCCCTGAGGCTGCAGCTGCGGCCCCAACTGCCCCAGCTGTGCCCCCTCAGCCCCGGCCCAGGGGCCTAGCCTCGGAGACCGATTGAGCARGCAGCTCCTCCCTGGCTAGCCCTCCGCGTCCCCTCCATGTCCCCTCCCGCCTGGACCTCCCAGGACAGCCTTGCCCCTCCCAAGGAGTAGAACCTCCAGCTTCCCCCCACAAGTGCCTTTGTGCCCACTGGGTCACCCCCACGGCCAGGAGGGCTCAGGACAGTCCTCCAGAAATTGCCTTTTCCTTGTCCAGCCTGGACCTGGGCCCCCACCCGMCTCCTCACTCTCTGGCAGGGTCCCAGGGAAGCCACCAGAAGGAAGGACAGGCTTGCCTGCTCATGAGACTTATTTTTCTCTTGCCAATATATTTTTTATAAGGCAGGTCAATAAATTATTTTGGATAAAACTGGAGCCCTGCCCTAATGATAGTTTTTATTTTTTGTCCTCAAAATAAAGAAGCCACTTTATCAAGGGGAAGAATGACATGTCCCCTGGCTCCCTTCTTCCTTCCAGTCTGAAACGCTAGCAGCCAGCRGGAGAGCCCCTGCTTAGCTGCACCCGCCCCAGCTTCTCTGTTCAATCCCCCAGGGGAGGGGATGCCCTTAGCTCCTGCAGGGGAGGAGGTGGAGGCTGGAAATAAGTGACTGCTAAGGTCACGCCGCCAGGCGCGGGCCTGGGACTGGAATGAGGTCTGAGGTTCCCCACAGCTGGGCAGTCCACTCAGCTTCGGGGGAACGCCGATTCCTGGGAAGAGACAGTCCCCCACGAGGGTGTTCTGAGGGTCAGTGGGACGCTCCTGTGAGCACCAAGCACCACCTTGTGCACAGACACGCCTGGCAGTGCTGGTGCTGCTACTGCATTTCCCCACCCCGGGCCGCGGGGGGGCAGGCAGGGCTCCCCAGGAGCAGGAAGGGATCCGTTCACAACCTTCCCAAGGCTGCTGTGTGGCCGGCCTGCGCTGACTCCCCAAGTCAGGCTGCACCCAGGCCTGTGTTAGCAGCCTAGTTAGGGGGACCCCCAACAGACCCTGAGGTGTGTTCAGGGGAGGGTTCACCAAGGCAGAATTCCTGGGGGAGGCAGCCTCTAAGGAGAGTCCTCCAGGAGCCAGCCAGGTGAGAAGGTGGAGGAAGAGCAGAAACATTCCAGGCAAAGGTCAGAGGCCAAAGGCCCAGGGCACTGGGGAATAGAAAGAGTCCCCTAGGGGGCCTGGGGGGTGAGGAGAAGAAAGGGTTAAGCCTCCAGTGGACACGGTGGCCCACACCTCTAATCCCAGCTACTCAGGAGGCTGAGGCAGGAGGATCGCAAGTTTGAGACCGGACAAGAATGGGATYGTAAGTAGAATTAGATATACTCCATGTATGTAKAATATGTTAAAATACACTGCCATGTGTACCTAAAAAGAACAAAWTTTTTAAAAGAAAAAAAAAMGTTTTGAGGCCAGCCTCAGCARTTTAGCACCCACAGCAATTTAGTGAGACCCTGTCTCAAAATAAAAAATAAAATGGACTGGGGGCTTCCCTAAATTCATTCCCCAGTACCAAAAATAGATTGGTCTGGGGTTGTGGCTCAGCAATAGAGCGCTTGCCTAGCAAGTGCAAGGCCCTGGGTTCCATCCTCAGCACCACATACAATGAATAAAATAAAAGTATTGTGTCCAACTACAACTAAAAAAAAAAATAGTATAAATAAATAAAATAAAGTTTTGTGTCCAACTACAACTTTAAAAATAAATATATATTTTTAAATAAACTAAATAGATGATTAAAAAGTCATCGAACTGCTAGACACAGTGGCTCAMGCCTGTAATCCCAACTACAGGAGAGACTGAGGCAAGATGGCAAACTCGAGGCCAGCCTTGGAAACTTGGTGAGACCTTGCCTCAAAATAAAATTTTAGCTGGGCGCAGTGGTGCTGTTGTAGGGACAGACGTGGCAAGGCACCGAAGACAGCAGGAAACAGTTTTGTTTGGCTGCAGCCAGGTTCAGGGGGCACAGCTTTTGCTGTAACCAATCAATCCCCTGAACCCCGAGTTCAGGGAGTTTCAGAGTTTTATACCCAGTGTGTAAGGGGAGGGGCTCAGAAGCTCACAGTCTGCACAAGTTCACATCAAAGCAGCTTTTTCTTTCACTGTTCTGGGCAAGTTAACCCTTCAAGGACCACACCTGAGGGGCTGGGGATGTGGCTCAAGCGGTAGCACGCTCGCCTGGCATGCGTGCGGCCCGGGTTCGATCCTCAGCACCACATACAAAGATGTTGTGTCGGCCAATAACTTAAAAATAAATAAATAAATATTTAAAAAATTCTCTCTCTCAAAAAAAAAAAAAAAAAAAAAAAAAGAGAGAGGAGAGAGAGAGAAAAAAAAAAAAAGGACCACACCTGAGAAGGGGAGAGCTTCTTCTCCCCTTTCTTTCCTCCCCCCTGCCAGCTGTTACCATGGGCCCAGTTGTAACTTATCTTAAAAATGTAGACATCTCTGTGAAGCCCAGCTCAAGGCCAGAGGCCTGGTTTGCACATTTCTACAAACTACTATATTGGATACATGTTTGTGAAAACTAGTAAGGAGGTGTCCAGCACCTGGAGTGCTGGTATCTTCCTGGCCAGTGGCCAAGTCAACAGGGCGACAAGAAAATAGGAAGTTTATCTACATTGGACTCTTTTGCGGGATTCCTTTTCTGACAGTCCTAAAATCAGCCATGGTGAAGAGGGCTTTTCTGTGGAGCAAGGGGGTGCCACTTCAGTGCATGCCTGTAATCCCAGCAGCTTAGGAGGCTGAGGCAGGAGGACCGTAAACTTAAAGCCAGCCTCAACAAAAGCGAGGCATAAACAAMTCAGTGAGATTCTGTCTCTAAATAAAATACAAAATAGGGCTGGGGATGTGGTTCAGTGGTTGAGTGCCTCTGAGTTCAATCCCTGGAACTCTCCCAAAATAAGATAAAATAATATAAAAATTTTAAAAAGGAGCCAGGGGTATACTTCAGTGGCAGAGTGCTTGCATAGCATGCAAGAGCCCTTGGGGTTCACTCCTAACTCCTCCCCCCACCGCCCGCCAAAAAAAAAAAAAGCATCAAATTGACATTTCAGGCCTTAAGCATCTTATCAGATGTAAATTACACCTAAAAAAATAATAAGTTTCCCAGGGGACTCTACAGCATGKCCAGCATGGAGAACCACTGGCCTAAACCAAGGGCCCCCGCGTCTAAGATACCGTATGCCTCTTGTCCCAACATTTTTCTCAGGATTTGCTTAGAATTGGACCACGGTCCAAAGGWCAGTGAGATCTGAGCCCAAAACATCTCTCCTAGCATCTGTTTTCCTCCTAGCAACCACTTCTCCTAAGCTTGTGATTGGTTGGCGACGGTGAGGCTTACTTGCTCCGCGTCTTCTCTTCATAGCTCCTTATTTGTTAGAATGAGCGTCCGTCTCCCAGCCTCCCACCCCTTTAAGGAGCAAGTGGGAGTTGAAACAGCCTCCACTGGCCCAGCAGAGCGAGGGGGCGGGGCCAAGGGCCAAGCCGGTTCTTCATTGGTGCCCTCCTCTCGGTGGCGGCAGCAGTGCCGCCCCTTTCTCCAAGTTCTGTACGCTAGCGTCCGCGCTCCTCTCGAACTCTCTTGCTCCCATTGGCCGCAGGCCAAGCCAAGACCCCGCCCCCTGCCCTTCCAGCGCACTGATTGGCCTGCACGTCGGGCGAGCGCGCCGTGCCCGCGGAGGGAGAGCGGCAGGGGCGTGCAGGCAGCCAGCCGGCTGCATGGCGCGCTGCGAGCGGCTGCGYGGCGCGGCCCTGCGCGACGTGCTGGGCCGGACGCAGGGGGTCCTGTTCGACTGCGACGGGGTGCTGTGGAATGGCGAGCGCGCCGTGCCGGGCGCTCCGGAGCTGGTGGAGCGGCTGTCGCGGGCCGGCAAGGCGGCGCTGTTCGTGAGCAACAACAGCCGGCGCGCGCGGCCCGAGCTGGCCCTCCGCTTCGCGCGCCTGGGATTCGGGGGGCTACGCGCTGAGCAGCTCTTCAGCTCCGCGCTGTGCGCAGCGCGTCTGTTGCGCCAGCGTCTGCTCGGGCCGCGGGACGCGCAGGGCGTCGTGTTCGTGCTCGGAGGCGAAGGGCTACGTGCCGAGCTGCGCGCCGCGGGGCTGCGCCTGGCAGGGGACCCCGGCGACGACCCGGGCGTGGAGGGCGGCGCAGCCACGCGCGTGCGCGCCGTGCTCGTGGGCTACGATGAGCACTTCTCCTTCGCCAAGCTGAGCGAAGCGTGTGCGCACCTGCGCGACCCTGAGTGCCTCCTTGTGGCCACCGACCGCGACCCTTGGCATCCGCTTAGCGACGGCAGCCGGACCCCGGGTGAGCGCAGAGCTGGCAGGGAAACAGGTGGAGGGGTGACCACTCATCCCTGGTGGCCAACAGGAGAGATGCGAAGGAAGCCCCCACGCAGCAAGAGCCCAGAATGCTTTGTGTCTGCACCTGGTAATTCCTACCTGAGAGGGGCAGTGATGGGGTCCCTGTTTGATGATAAGCCCAGGGAGTGAGTGAGATAAGCAGGTGGAATCCAGGTGTCCTGGACTTCCGGAACTAGCCTCCTGGGCTCCTGTCATTTCTTGCCTTATCCACCATGGGTTTGGGTTTGGAGAAGCCTGGAAGGATCGTCTCCCCCCCTACCCCCGTGGGAGGGTGAGGCAGGCTAAGGCAGGTGTGTGGACAGCAGGCAGGTGGAGTGTGACCTGACTTCCAGTTCCATTTGTACGCTGTGTAATCTTTTTGGGTTACATAACCTCCAGGCGGCTGCCTGGGTGCAGAATGGAAATGYCGGCCACCTGAGGGAACAGTGATGCGAGGGAGTGACTGGCACCTAGTAGTTGGTCAGATGGTGCATGTTGTAGCCGAGTCCTCCCACGTGTGAGGAGCTTCATGAAGCACTTTGACGTCTGTTTTCATTTGATTTCCAAATTATTCCAGAGATGGGAGCATTTTTTGGTACCAGGGATTGAACCCAGGGGCACTCGACCACCGAGCCACATCCCCAGCCCTTTTTTGTATTTTATTTAGAGACAGGGTCATCTTGCTGAGTTGCTTAGGGCCTTGCTAAGCTGCTGAGGCTGGCTTTGAACTTACCACCCTCCTGCCTCAGCCTGCCGAGCTGCTGGGATTACAGGTGTGCGCCACCACACCCAGCTTGTCCCACTTCTTAATTAAACCGAGGCAAAGAGAAGTCCAGGCAGAGCCAGAACAGGCCCAAGACCTCCCTCGGAAAAAGTGAGCTGCCCAAGAGGACACCGTAAGTTGGTGACAGAGCCAGGGAACCCGGACTTGGCTCTAGCGATACACCCCATCCAGAGCGCTCTTCCCTGCTGTCTTCTTGGGTGCTCCTCCCTGTGGGGAGGGCAGGCGCAGGCAGAAGCTCCTTGGTCACAGAGTGTTCAAGGTGGACTAGAGCAGGATGTGGCAGAAGCCAGTGGGCAGTGATGAGTGTGTACGACGGTCAGGCTGGGGACAGGGACAGATCTCTGTCATTCCCTCTCTGTGGGTCCCTGCCCCAGACAGTCCTTGGTACCATATCCTGGGGGGCGGAGTAGTATTGAATGAGGGGAGGTAGGCCCTGGATAGTGATGGGCTGGAGGGAGGGCCTCCTGCTGACAGCACCTGGGAAGACTTCCTGGAGGAGGCAAGTTAAGGGCAGGGTGACAGGGAGCAAGGAGACACAGTGCTATGATGGGGTGGCAGGAAGGGATTCTCGAGTCCCTGGCTCTTCTGGCTCTGCCTTGGACTTATGTGCCACTTGACCCCACCAGCCTCAGTTTCCCCATAAATCTGCAGGGAGGGCCGCAGAAGGTGGTCACAGCTGCTGAGCTCCCCGCCTGCGGGCCACGCTGGGAAGTGTTTTCCCTGGAGTCCCCGAGGCTCAGGTTAAGGCTCTGGGGGAGAGGTTCCCCAGGGCCGAGGAAGGGTGGTGTGGGGTGCTGGGGAGAGGTGCCCTGCCAGGCCTCCCTCCAGGCTGCTGCTTAACCAGCCCCAGGGTCTGGGTACCCATGAGGCTGGGACCACCCGCCCTGCTGGTCACTCCTGTTGCCTCGAGGGGGAGGCAGAGGCTCAACACATGCATTCCGGTGGTCATGTCCTGCAGGACTGAAGAGTGGGACTGAAGAGTGCCGATTTGAAACACTGTTTCAAAATGGTAAAGGTGTTAACAGAGGCCCCTGGTGTGCATCAAATCTAAAATAACACTGATCCCCCACCCCGACGTCCCCTCCCCCACCCCATGGGCCTCCTAGATTGTGCATGGACCTTGTCGCCACACGGCAGCCTCTTGAACTGCAAATACAGTTATCAGCGTCCAGACAGCAGCTGGGTTGCGGAAGGTGATTGGTGGACACTGTGGCCGCCCAGGCAGCTGGATCCACAGACTTCCCTACCCGTGCAGAAGGACTTTTGTTGTGTGGGCTGCTCTGTCCTGTGTCTGGCATCGGGTTGGGCCTCAGTAAACATGGGCAGAATGAATAAAGTGGGAYGTGGGGCCCAAGGGTGAGCACTCCATCTTGGGAGAGGAAGGTGCTGGTGCCTGAGGCCTTTCTTGAGCCAAGAACACCACTTTGGAGTGACTCCGGGGAGTCCTTCCCATCCCATTCTTAAGGAAAGAAGCAGCTGGGCGTAGCTCGTGGTAGAGCAGTGTGAGTTCAGTCAGTGTGTGAGTTCAGTCGCGGCACAAAACAAACCAACCAGAAAACAGGCTGCTCCGGGGCAGTGCCAGGGAGAGGCTTGCCAGGTGCTGCTCTGGGTCCTGCCCTCCCTCCGCCTCTGCCCTGATGCTGTGGTACTGGTGAAGTTCCTTATCTGAAGGCTGCAGGGCTAGGGATTCTTGCTGTCCCCACCCATTCTTCCTTTCTGTGCCTTTGGCTCAGCGAAGTGGAGTGGAGAAGGGAGAGGGGGCCCAGGGTGTTTGGCCGGGCGGTTGGGTGCTGAGAAGTGGTTCACAGCTGGCCGAGCTCAGTGGACGCCGCTCACTGGCTTGGGGGTGAGCGCTCCCACATGGCTGGCTCAGATCTACCGCGGGGCATGGGAGGCCCCTGACCTCAGAGCTGGGGAGATCCAGTGGCATCTCTATCCTCACGAGTGTAAATGACCTCAGTGCGMAGGTTGGTAAACGTGTGGAACGGTGAACTGTGTGCAATGGTACAAGCGTGTAATCCTACTGGGAGGCCGAGGCAGGAGGAGCACAAGTTGGAGGCCACCTGAACAATTTAGCAAGCCTTGTTTACCCTGTCTCAAAATTTTAAAAATCAGGAAGGCTGGAGTGGTAGGTCAGTGGTGGAGCGCCCCCAGGTTCAATCCTCAGCCCTGCCAAAAAAAGTGATATACTAATTAGTTAATGATGGGTTTTGAGAGTCTATTTTTTTCTCTCTCTTTTCCCCAAGCCAGGAGCTGTACCACTGAGCTGCTACATCCCCAGCCCTTCTTATTTTTGAGATATTTTCTCACTAAATGGCCCAGACTGGCCTCAAACTTGGTAATCCTCCTGCCTCGGCTTCCCAAGCTGCTGGGGTTACAGGTGTGTGCCACTGCGGCCAGCGGTAGTTGACCTTTTTAGTTGTGTCTTCTTTTAACAACTAGCTCACAAAATTCCCCATAAAATGAAACCATCCACCCTCCCAAGCCAGCCCAGCCAAAGACTGGGTGAGGCCCACCCAAGTGCAAGGTGCTTTGCTGCCCCTGGGTAAGTTCCTTGGTGTCACTGAGCCTCGGCTTTCCCCATCTGTGATGCAGGACCCATGAGCACCAGCTCAGCCTCTGACAGTCCAGGACGTGCCTAGTCAGTGGGTCCTCCCGTGGTCACCTCTCAGGACGCCAGTGTGAAGGGGTGAGCCTGTGGGACAGGCACAGGACTCCCGTTGTGCAGCCGGCTGGTCCTGGGCGGGGGCAGGACTGGCCTTTCCTGACAGGCCACCTATTGTTGGACTCTTGGGCTGGTTCCATATTTGGCCTGCGGTGGTCACTGTACCCCACTCTGCGGGCGGGTAGCGTTTTGTATCTAGTTGGCGCTCTCTGGTGATCACTGCCCTTGCCTTGAGGACAGGAGTGGGGACATTCTGCCCTGCTGCATTCCACACTGCCTGGGCCAGTTTCCAGCCACAAGTGCCGTTGGTGATGTGCTTTTCTTTTTACAAAGCCCTGGCCCCCGTGGTGCCCACAGCATCCCTTTGGAGGAAGGTATTACTTGGATTCCTATTTTGCAGCAAGTCCCTGGAAACTCCAGAGAGGTGAAGTGGCTTGCCTGAAGGCACACAGCTGCCAGAGTGTAACTGAACTTCAGGAGGACTGACYGAATCAGCCCCGTTTACCTGCAGTGGCCCCTTGAGCCTTTACAGTACCCATGGGAGATGGGTGTCACCCATGTCCTCTTTAGAGCTAGGGATTCAGAGGCACTGGGAGGTTCACCAGCCCTCCCAGGAGGGACGGTGGGGGAGTCGGAGCCCAGGCCTCTGGCTGTGGGGTCCGTGCTGTCCACACACACCTGGGAGCCTCCGACAGCCGTGCCCGGCCTTTCCTGGGCCACTCTGCCTCCCAGATTCTGGCTCCAGGGCCTGATGCCGTCCCTGGCCCCTCCAGCCCCGCTGACCGCTCGCTGCCCCTTCTGTCCACAGGCACCGGGAGCCTGGCAGCCGCCGTGGAGATGGCCTCGGGGCGCGAGGCCCTGGTGGTGGGCAAGCCCAGCCCCTACATGTTCGAGTGCATCACCGAGCACTTCAGCGTGGACCCTGCCCGCACACTCATGGTGGGCGACCGCCTGGAGACCGACATCCTCTTCGGCCACCGCTGTGGCATGACYACCGTGCTCACGCTCACCGGCGTCTCCCGCCTGGAGGAGGCCCAGGCCTACCTGGCGGCCGGCCAGCACGACCTGGTGCCCCATTACTACGTGGAGAGCATCGCGGACTTGACCGAGGGCCTGGAGGACTGAGCCCACCCGCCGCAGCCCAGCCCCGTCCTCCCCTTTCTGAGCCTGTAGGTGGAGGCCCGGGGCAGGAGTCTCCGTGGCCCACAGCCCCCTCCTCTGGCCTCTGCACTGGGGGGCTGGGCCCCAGGGAGGGTCTGCCGGCCGCTGCCCTCTCCCAGCGATGGCCAGGCTCTCTGCTGATCCAGGAGCCACCCAGCAGCCTGAAGGCTCCCCCGGCCTGACCCAGCCAGGCGACCTTACCTCGACCCAGCCTCCCCCTCCTCGAAACATGGGCGCTGGTGCCAACCGAGGATTCCCTGCCCCTTCGCCCTCCCTGGGGCCTCCAGAGCCCTGCCTGTCCCTGGGGTTTGTCCCCTTGGTTCCTGACCAGTCGGAGGTCTCAGAACCACAACCTCGCCCCGAGGGCTCCGTTCTGAAGCCAAGTGACAGTGGTTCACTAGTGTTGGGTCCTGAGTGGACCACATAGGAGCTGAAGGAACAGTGACCCTTGCGTGTCCTAGAGCCCAGGGGTGCCAGTCAGAGGGCTAGGTGACAATGATCGGAGAACGTCCTAGGTCCTGGGTGGACCCATCAGTAATAACGACCCACTGGTCTCTTAGATCCCAAATAGAATGATCTAAAAGTCCTAGACACAGTGGCCTCTTGACAATCTGGGTCCAAATGGACCAGCCAGGGGTTCCGAGTCGGTACGTTAAGGGCCAAGTTTGAAGATACCCCTCCCCAAAGACTGTGACCAAGAGCCCCACCCCTGCCTGATCCCGGTACCTGTCCAGTGTTGAGGTGGCCACGGCTCGGGCGGGCTTCTTGCCCCCTTTGTGGTCAGTGTTTGCTGTGCCACCTTTCCCCCCCTCCTGTTATTTATTTATTTATTTATACTGTGTGACAGTGACGGTGGGGGGGCTGGGCCTTCCCTGCCCCCTCCCTGGTTGTAACCAGTCCTCCCTGCTTAATAAAGTCTGAGTGGGAGTGCGCACKCGTGTCTGGCCCAGGAGCGGGGCCTGCCTTCCCGGTGCTCGCCCACCCGTGACCTTGCCCACGGGACGATCTGCGGGTTCCGGAGTGTTCTCTGCTGCAGTAGTGCCCTCACTTTCCACCCCCACGTTAGTGAGTCATTTTTCTTTCTGGTGGTGCCAGGCGTAGAACCCGGGCCTTGCCCAGGCAGGTGCTCTGCCAGGGAGCGGGGCCTGCTGGGTCTGCACCAGTTTCTTTCAGCCCTTTGGAAACCCTCGGGTCTCTACCACCGTCCCCCACTCGTCCCGTTTCACAGCTCAGGAAGCTGAGGGTGGGGGTGAGGCCGGTGCCTTTGGGCGCACCGCTGGGCTGTGACTTGGACTTGCCTTGACTGCAGGCGCTGCAGCCCCTCTGGAGAGGACAGGAAGGTGCAGGRTGAGGTTCCCACCCCCAGCAGCCCAGGTGAGATGCTCAGGAGTGTGTCCCCCTGCCGCACCCCAGGGCCACCAAGGGGCAGGGACGGGATTGCTCCAGGCCTGTCTTGACTTACCACTTGTGCTTTCTCGAGCTCCTTCCTGCTCGGCTTCAGTGTCTGCAGAGCCAGGGCTGGGGTTCCTGCGCGGGGACCCTCTCCCGCCAGGATTCTTTGGGGGAGAAGGAGGCCTGGGCAGAGCCTGGCTGCAGCATGCAGGGCTTATGTCACCTGCCCACKTGGTAACCCATACCCTGGGGATTGGACACAGCTGTCTGCCACCTGGATCATGGGCCTCTCCCCCAGCCAGGGTCCCAACCGGCACCTGACAGCCATTCCCTACCTCCTTTGCCAACGGAACCCTGACGTCCCTGGGTGTAGTTGGAGGCACCCTCCTCTGAGCAGGGAAGTGGATGAGTTTAAAGCTTGAGTTGAAACGGTCTCGGTTACTTGATTCCTCCTGGTCTCCATGGTCCTCGGTGTGCCGTGGACAGTGACCAAGGAGACATAGAGGGTCTGCTGGGAACTGTGGGAAGGCTCACCTCATTGTTAAAGGCCACAGTGAGGGGCTCGCTCTTCTCCGCTTCAGATGTGGTGCTGGGGGCTGCTGTAGCCCCTGTGACATGGGGCTGCCTCGTGATTCCGCTGCAGGTGGCAGGGCAGAGAGGCCAGAAGAACTTACAAGTGTTTCCCCAAAACTTTATTGTTTACTTATTGGCTCCAACTCCTGCACCTGAGGCGTCCTCCTGCCCCAGCCCTCCTAGAGCTGGGGCCATGCAGGCTTGGGCCTCTGTGCCTGCGCCACCCGCTTTAGTCTAGAAGTTGCAAACCAACAGAAGAGTGCAAGAGTGGCTCCAACACCCCCAAGTCCTTCACCAAGTGTCGCCAGTTGTTCATATTTGCCCAGTTTGCCAACAGCTCTCTACACATTACTTTTTTTTTTTTTTTTTGGTCCTGGGGATTGAACTCGGGGGCACTCGACCACTGAGCCACATCCCCAGCCCTATTTTGTATTTTATTCAGAGACAGGATCTCACCGAGTTGCTCACTGTGGCCTTTAACAGTGAGGTAAGCCTTCCCACAAGTTCCCAGCAGTTGCTGAGGCTGGCTTTGAACTCGAGGTCCTCCTGCCTCAGCCTCCCGAGTCCCTGGGATCACAGGTGTGTGCCACTGCGCCTGGCTTACATATTTACATTTCAAACCATTTGAAAACCTGTTGCAGATGTGAACAGGCGTTATCGGGGTTCGCTCCCCAAGTCCTTCAGCTGGTCCTCGTAGGGCAAGGACTGGCTACGTAGCTGCAGTCCGTGATTGCTCAAGATGATTTCCCTGAACCACTAAATAATCCTGCCCAAACCCTCCACAGCCCTCGACTTCAGAGAACACCTTCCCTTGACTGTAAAGTAATTTCGTTGAGTTTTCTGTAACCTGCAGATACAAACTTCCTGGTACACAAGCGTCAACGCACCAGAGATCAAAGATCGCCATGTACCACACTAGAGACTTTTTAAACACTTTTTTATCAAGACGTAATATCTGTATCTCTCTACCATATAACTTTAAGTATACTTTTATACTTTTGTTTTAGACATTATCTCTCTGTCAGGATCATGTTGAGRACTGACTGACCTCTAGAAATACTTGGAAACACTTTCAAAGTGAGAAAAACCCAACCTGCAAAGTTGTTTCCCAATGGAATGACATTTTTATGACCAACCAAGCTAATATTTCATTAAGTTTGAGCACAGTAAATGTGTGAATTTCAGCTTTGAAGTTTTATGTTTTGGAGCCAATACATTCCTCCCCCCCCACCCCCCTCCGCTTTGGGTCTCAAATATTTTCTGAGCTTAGCTTCCTGTGAGTCCTTGACTTCAAAATAAAATGCTAAACTAAAGAGGCTCAGACCTGARCCCTGCAGGCTCAGGCCAATTAAGACAAAGGTCTGGGCTCCACTCRGAGGAGGGACAGTTCCCCAAAGGAAGTGGGGGGTCTGTGATCACAAGGGGGACAGACCCCAGAAGAGAGTGAGGAGTGGTTAAACGGGCAGGTGCCCAGGACCACAGCCTTCTCTCCTTGCCTCAGYTCCCTGGGTGGGCTCGGTCAAGGGACCACCCTCTCTAGATGGTTTCTGCACCATGAAGCTGTGTCACGAAACAGGGGAACAGACACCTGGCATGATGGGAAAGCTAAGGCAAGAGGACCAGAGTTCAAGGCCAACCTCAGCAACTGAGTGAGAACCTTCCTATCTCGAAAAATGAAATATAGCTGGGCACAGTGGCGCACACCTGGAATCCCAGCAGCTCGGGAGGCTCAGGCAGGAGGATCGCGGGTTCAAAGCCAGCCTCAGGAACTTAGTGAGGCCCTAAGCAGCTTAGCAAAACCCTGTCTCTGAAAATAAAAAAGGCTGGAAATGTGGCTCCATGATTAAGGGCCCTGGGTTCAATTCCTGGTACCAAAAAATAAATTAAAATATAGTGCCCTGGTTCAACCCTAGTACTGGAGGAAAAGCAGGGGGCAGGCCAGGCCCATCTCCCGGGTCCCTCCTACTTGATATCTAGGACTCTGAGCTGGCGGGGCAGGGGATGGCGCCTCTGTGGCTTCCAGCCCTCCAGCCAGTGCCAGCTGGAGGAAGCACAGCCGCCATCTGGGCAAGGTGGGAGGGAGGCCTGGAAGGGCTGCGCTGGCCCAGATTCCATCTGGGGTCCACTTCCCAGCAGCAGCCAAAGGCCAGGCTGCAGGGACGGGGCTTCCAGAGCACTGCCAGGCGCTCCTGCACCCAGGGGAGCAGACAGTCCCGGGGCGAGGCCTGGCCTTGGGGGCCACAGGAGGGAGGGTGCTTCCTTACACCTCACAGGCAGCCAGGAATACTGGGAATGCGGTCATGCCTGCTTTCCAGGCCTGGGACGGATTCAAAGAAGTCACACACCTGCAGCCGGGYGGCCCCCCATTCAAACCTGCCTTCCTACTCCTATTGAAGTTCCACCCGGTGGCAGCCACCAAGTAGGGGGTGACACGGTGAAAGGAGGGAGTCACTGTTCTAGAGGACTCCGGAATCTTGAACAACTTCCCACCCCAGCYTAAGCAAGAGGAGATTGTTTGGCACCAAATGGGTCTGAGGAGGTCCCCTGTTTTGTGGTACTAGCAGTCGAACTCGGGGGTGTTTTGCCACTGAGCTCCATCCATCCTGGCCCTTTATATTTTTGAGACAAAGTCTGGCCTCTAACTTAGGATCCTCCTGCCCCAGCCTCCCCAGTTGCTGAGATCACAGGCGTTTGCCGCCGTGCKGGGCTCCAGGCAGGTTCTTGACTGACATGTTGAGGCACAAGCAGAGATTGATTGAAGGACAGCAAAGCAAAGGCAGACCCATCCAGAAGGCAGGGTGTAGACACCCCTCACCTCCCCGTGACAGTGACAATGACAGTCCAGGTGCAGCTCTCTGACCACACATAGGATTTTCCTGGGAAGAAAAGTACAAGTTTGCAGCAAGCTTCTGAGGAAATCAAATCCCGTGTCAGTGTTTGGGGTTCACATTGTTTCTTCCTGGGGGGCAGTCCAGCCTGAAGTCAGTGGTGGGCCGCGGGTGTAGGTCTCTGAGTCTGGTGACATTTAAGTTGACTCTGCCTTTGTTCCAGCTGATCTGGTATGACATGGGCTGGAGATTTTGGGGGGGTTTGTTAGTCTGCTTTTTTTGGGGGGGAGGTACGAGGGATTGAACCCAGGGGCGCTGAACCACCGAGCCATATCCCCAGCCCATTGAAAACAAAGGTATCGTGTCCATCTACAACTAAAAAAATTAAAAATAGAATGTATATACGTATATATTTTTTGTTTTTATATTGACATTTTTGTATTTATATACATATATACATATTTTAGAGACAAGGTCTCCCTAAGTTGTTTAGGGCCTCACTAAGTTGCTGAGGCTGGCTTGGAACTCGCGATCCTCCTGCCTCCGCCTCCCGAGCCGCTGGCATCGCGGGCGTGCCCACGGCACCTGGCAAGGGGCTGGCTATACTTAAGGAACAATCCTGTGGGGTGTCAGGAGGGCTGCGGGTGAGTGAGTCCATGAAGGGTGTCCCGTGAGGCACCGCCTGTGGGCTGCTTAAAAGATCCCCAGGGGCCCCTGGGTTCAGGAAGGAGTGGGTCCAGTGAGGAGGTTTTCTTCGGACCTGAAGAACTGGACTGAAATCAAGTTTTTAAATCTGCCAGTGAAAGGTTCTGAGTCAGCTGGCCTCAGGGTGCAGTGGCCACACGAGTTTGATTAGAAAGGTCCTGGGGGTCGAGGAAGGCAGGGGCTGGGCTCCAGCGTCCAGCAGGCTGCCCCATCAGGAGCCACGCAGCCTCTTCTRTGGTGACGGCCTCAGGCATCCGTCTTCCAGGGCACCTTGATGGGGCGGGTGGCCTCCTGTCCCTCTCTGGAGGTGAGGCGATCTCCGCCCCAGGGTCCCCCTCTCTATGAAGGGGGCACGGCCCCTGTGTCCATGGGCCCTGCTGGGGACAGTCTGCCATGGTGACGTCCTCTAGCTCKCCAACCTTTTCCCCTCTTTCGCGTGGAGCCCTTGGATATCTCTGAGGGGCCGGGCCTGTGGCCAGGGCCACCCTGGGCTGGTTCTCCCGCCTGCTGTCCTGTCTCCAAGGTTTCATGGGGCCCTTATGTTTTTTGTTGAATGCCCCAAAGGTCAAATTTAAAAATTGGGTGACAGGGGACTGAGGACCCAGAGTTGGCTTTTGAAATTCTCTCCTCACATCTGCAGCGGGTGCCCAGGAGACTCCGTCCCTCCTGAGAACTTGGGTCCGTGTTCGTTCACTTCTTAAGGTTTCAGTCTAACTAAGACCCAGACAGGATTCCCATTGTCTCCCCGAGTCGCTCCCGGGCCTTGATCACCACTCACTGGTTTACTCACAGATCTTTCTCGTGCCTCCTACTAACGTGGGACCCTACGCCAGGCCTTGTAAGATCTGTGCTTTGAATGTAGAGATTTCAACTATTGAATATAGAATCCCAAGGGAGTTTACAGGGACAGACGTTGAATTTCCCATATTTTAACAGCTGAAAGAATTCCGAACCTGCAGGTGGAGATCAAAAGGAAAGAAAGAAAGACTATGGGATACTCAGACCTCCTGGAGCTCCGGCACCCCAGTGCGGCCAGCCTCACCTGGCTGCTGCTGCCACCACGTAGCCGAGGACAGAGCCTTCCTCCTGGGGCAACACTTGCTCCCCRCGCCCCTGGAGATACCCCGAGTACTCAGGGGAAACGCGACCCCTCTGACTACCAGACACTCCAAAGCTTCTGAGTTCTGGTTCCCCAAATTAGGAAAACCAGAGCCGGTCCCCCCACACACACACCTTGMGTCTTTAAGTTCAAAGTCTAATCTCACCCAAGCGAGCCCTGAAACAAATTTCCTTAAAATAGAATAGAAATGACACAAAATCCTCACAAAGAATTCCTTGGGGCGGAGGTGGGCATGAGGCACACAACAAGATGAGCCTAAGGGGAACCGTCTGGTGCCAGGGAGGGGCAGCCACTGGGTCCTTAAACAAAGCCAACAGCGGGGTGTGTYCTTCAGAAATAATCAAACCCTGCAACTGGGCATTTTCCTTTGGGGCTGTGCCGCTGAGGCGTTTCAGAGTTTCACAACTTTACATCCCGGGGCTGGGCTAAGAGGAACGCAAGGGCAGTGGGAGACCTGGAGGGATGAAAATGCTAAAAATGAAAAGAGGCTGGGCGTATCCTTTAGGAGAGTTCACTCCCAGAGGCCGCAGGCAGAGTAGGGTGAAGCAGGAGCTCGGCTTGCACTGTGAGAAACAAAAAGCAGCAGGTTAGAAGCAGAAACTCTGCAGCATGAAATAGGAGAAAGAATGTAGCCGGGCAATCCCAGCAGCAAGGGAGGCTGAGGCAGGAGGTTCATGAGTTCAAGGCCAGCCTCAGCAACTTAGCTGAGGCCTTGTCCTACATAAAAAATAAAAAGGGCTGGGGATGTGGCTCCGTGGTTACTTGCCCCTGGGTTCAATCCCTGGTACAAAAAGGAAAGAGAGAAAGCATTCAGTTCAACTCACCACGGGTGGTTCCTCAGTGCCATCTGGATTGCCAAAGGAATGTCCCCGGATCTGTGAAGACCCTTCCCAGGGGAGCAGTGGGTCCTCAACTCCCCCAGGCAGGTTCTCGGCTTACACCACTGAAAAGACACGTGGAGACACACCAAGAGCAAGTCACAAGCAAAGATTTGTTTAAAAACAGCAAAGCAGACCCGGTGTGGCGGCACACACCTGTAATCCTACCAGTTTGGGAGGCTGAGGCAGGAGGATGGCGAGTTCAAAGTCAGTCTCAGCAACGGCAAGGTGCTSGGCAACTCGGTGAGACACTGTCTCTAAACAAAATGAAAATGGGGCAGGGGATGTGGCTCCAAGGTTAAGTGCCCGTGGGTTCAATCCCCAGTACCAAAAAAATTTTTTTTTTAATTTAAGTAAAAATAAAACACAGCAAAGGTATACATACCCCAAAGCAGGGTGCAGAGACCCCTCATTCAGGGAAGAGAGCGATGTCCTAGGGCAGAGCTATCTATCTGACTATACGTAGGGTTTTCCTGGGAAGAAAAGTACGACTTTCCAGCAAGCTTCTGGGAACATTAAACCCCACATCAACCCTTTGATATTTGGGTTCAGAATGTTGCTTCCTGGTTGAGCAGTCCAGCCTGAAATCAGCTGTGGGCTCGCTGTGTAGGTCTTTGAATCTGGTGACATTTAAATGGACTCTGCTTTTGTTCTAGTTGATCTGGAACACTCGCACACACTGGAGACTTTGTTCATCTAACCAAAGGGCTGGGCATGCTCGGAGATCTGGGTCTCTAGTAAAGGTCTCTCTTTTGGGGGAGGGCAGGGGGAGTACCTGGGATTGAGCTCAGGGGCAGTGGACCACTGAACCACACCCCCAGCCCTATTTTGTATTTTGTTTAGATTCAGAGTCTCACTGAGTTGCTTAGTGTCTTGCTTTTGCCCAGGAGGCTGGCTTTGAACTCTCCATCCTCCTGCCTCAGCCTCCCAAGACGCTGGGATTACAGGCTTGGGCTTCTGTGCCAGGCACGGATATCTTTTGTCTCCCTGAAAGCCCAGTTACACGTGTTAGGAACCAGAGGGAAAGTCCTGGCAGATCCCCCAGGAAGATAAACTCAGTCTGGGAGAAAGGGCCCTAAGGGCCACAGGCAAGTTGAAACCTGAGATGCCTGAGTCACTGACCTGAGTCAGGCCCTGTGTGACCCTCCGCAGGAGAGCAGCATTCCACAGGCCCAGTTTGCAGATGGGGAGACTGAGGCAAGCCAGAAGCCCGGGCAGCGGTTATTTCCTGGGGTGGGGAGCACAACAGGGTTAGAAGCAGAACCCAAGTCCCCAGACCCCAGTGGGGCCTTCCTGGGGACCTGCACCCTCGACCATGCTGCTGGACCCTGACGGAAGTGACCCGTCCCTGCTCAGGAGCCAGCACTCCCTGGTGCTGGCCACTCTCCAGGTCAGGTGAGACTGGGCGAGCAGCTCCCAGGACCTGAGACCCCAACTCCTGGCTGGGCCAGGTGCCCTGCCCAGAGCTCCTCTGGTCCTCGGGCTGGGGCACCTCCTGAGGCCCCGTTCTGACGTGGCAGGGCGCATCTCTGGGAGAGGAGTGGAGCTGGGCTGGTCCAGCGGCCCCTCCCTAGGACTGAGGTTTGGGGGAGGCACACAGGAAAAAGTGAAGCTTCTGTGGTTGGGTTAGCAGGCGACACTGGCCTGGGGAGAGGGAAGGGGCTCTGGGTGCAGCCCCCTTCTCTGGGTCCCCACACAGAGGGCRGCCCTACACACACCCCTGTCCTCTGGTGCAAAAGTGGGGTGTRGGGGTGTGGGGGCTCGGCTGGGGAGGCCGGGAGGGGTGGGTGGTGCTGGCCTGGCCTCCAGATGTGACTCACTCCTCCTCGCATCTCCCTCCCTCTTCAGTGCTGACAGTTTAGAAGGGGGGTGGCCACACAGAGCAGGACCCCTTGACAACTCCCTGGCAAGCCCCTGGTGCCCCTCCCTTCACTGGGTCCCAAATGTGAGGTGACTGCCCGCAGGCCYCCTCAACTCTGCTGCGGAAACCTTCCCCATATCCCATGTCTAGTCTCAATACTCACCCTCCCTACAACTTTTGGTGGCTCCCCAGTACCCTAGGATGAAACTTGCCAAGCCCTTTACCTGGCCCACGAGCCCCTTCATGACGGGGTACAGTTGGCTTTCTTCCAGTCTCGCCCCCCACCTTCTCCTACATGCTCAGACGCTCCCTGTCCTCAGGCCWGTGTCCTGCGGGAAGGCCAGTCTTTCTTTGCCGCACTTTGAGACCCCTGCCTCCCTTTCTCCATCCCACTCGCCTTAGAACCGCCGGGTTTCTTCATTAGCTTCTTGGGCAGATTCCGCCTAACCCCAACCATGGGCTCCTCGGGAGGGACAGGGACTAGGAGGGGCTCCTCTCTGTATCCTCTGAAGTCGGAGCAGGGACAGGCACACAGTAGGTGCTCAAGAGAATATCTGCTGTGCACGTGGGGAAGAGGAGGCTGGCTTCAGACAGGAGATGGGAGGGGCAGGGCTGCACAGAGTGGAGACCCCAACCCTCAGGGCCTGGCGCACCGCGGGCCACCTCCCAGGCCTGCGCTCCCGGGGGCAGCGACTCTCAGAGCCGCCCCCTCCGCCCAGGCAACCCGAGGCGCAGGCCTCAGCTGACAGCCTCAGCCCTGGCGCGGGGCCCAGCCTTTCTTTAGCTCAAAGTGAGCAGCGAGTGCGGCAGCTGCAGGCACCGCTTCCGGGGCTGGGGGGCGGGGACGGGTGGGGCCAGGGCCTCGTGGCCACGGGCCCTAGCCCTCCGCAGTGGCACTCAGCGGGAGCCGCGCCCTGGCCCTCCCAGGTCGCAGCCTCTCCTACCCCAGCTCTAGTTCCCTGGCGCATCCTGCGCCCCTCAGCCCTCTTCTCTGGGCGCCCCCTCTTCTCTGGGCGCCCCCTGTGCTCAGCTGCCGGCCTCAGGCCCCTTCCCGCCAACTTTTGGGTCTAGCTCATCCTCAAACTATTTTCCGTTGGCTCCCCCCAATCTCTGCCGCCGCATAAGTTTTTTTGGGATGGGGGGCGGATGAAGGATAGGAGGTGGAGTGGGACCCTGGGGGCGTGGCTAGGAAGGAGGGAGGGGAATCGCCACTCTGATTGGTCACCTCTGCTCCAGAATTGATTTAGAAATTCCATTGACCCCGCCTTGGTGGCCCCCATCCCAGTCCTGACTTGCAATTGGCTGAGCTTCCGGGGGCGGGACTCAGCGGGTCGGTCCAGTTAAAAGGGTGGGAGCGGCCGGGCCCATCTCTCGGAGGAGCCCTTTGACAGCCCTGCAGCAGACCCCGGGAACACCCTCTAGGCTTCACTATGGCTTGTGTGAGTGTGGGTCCCCCACCCCAAGGAATGGGGATAGCGGGGAGCAGATGACCAGGGGAGTGCAGGGCCATTCCGAAGCGGGGCTCTAGTCCCAGCTGTATGGCCTTGGGCAAGTGCCTTCTTTTCTTTGATCCTCAGTGGCCACATCTGTAAAATGGGGGTGGGCGCCTGGTCCCCCAGGGCCTTCTGTGGCTTAAGAATTTTCTGGTTGCTCCAGGGTGGGGCAGCGGAGTTGGTTCTGCCAAGGTCCCACATTCTGCGATTCTGCAGCTCAATTCTGCAGCTCGGAGAAGTGGGAGTTTGAAGGGTGTGGCCACAGTGGGGGGGCACTTTGGTCCAGGCCACTGTCCTTTCCCCCTCCTGCACTCCAGAGCCTCATGTCCCCTCCCCCGCTGCAGCTGTCTCCAGTCACTGCTCCAGGGCCAAGCCACCCTCTGCTCCAGAGCTCTAAAAAGTCTGCAGGAGCCAGGGGGCTGCTGGTGGAGGTCTCCCKGGCCGGGGGTGGGCTGGTTCCTCTGGGCTGACCAGGTGGGGGTGGGGAATCCCACTTGAAGGGGCTGGTGAGGGAGGGAAGGGGAGGCCGGAGTCTCCCTAGGCCCCTAGGGAAGGCTTCAAGTTTCTGGCAGAAGGAACCTCTTCACTCCAGTTAACTCCTGCCCACCGCCCTGGTGCCAGGGCTCATAGTGCCAGGCAGTGGCCTGCRTCCTGGTCAGTCTCCTTAACCCTGAACCATCCCGAGGGGCAGCCCTAATCTTTGGGGGTTCTCCCTCCTGCAGAAGGGCCTGGCCATAGTCCTCGGTGTCCTCTTTGGCCCCTGCACCTCTCTGCAGAGAGGAGCTTGACCCGGATGGGGGAGGTTGCTGTAGCCCCAGGCCATTTCTCCAGCAGAGGGACAGACCCCTCCAGTGTCACCTTGGGCAAGTGGCTGCAGCGCTGCCAGTGGCCTCTGCTAATTGAGGGGCGTTGAACCCCGCCTCCCAGGCTGCTCTGAACCAGGTCCGGCAGCCCAAGGGCAAGATCCAGAGCCCGTGGTGGGGAGCACCCCCATGTCTCAGAGTCCCTGTGGGGAGAGGGGCTTTCCTTGTAAGCACCTGTCCTGTACCCCAGGCTTCCCGGTGGCCTGGTCAGAGGACACAGGGTGGGAAAGACCCCACTGCCACGCCCAGCCGCCCCAGGAAGCCACCTGTCCCTAACCCAGCGGGCGGGTCTTGTGTGCCACAGGGTCTGGTCGCCAGCAACCTGAACCTCAAACCCGGAGAGTGCCTCAGAGTGCGCGGCGAGGTGGCTCCCGACGCCAAGAGGTGAGGGGTGTGGGAGGTAGCGGGGATGGCGATGGCGGGGATGGCGCTCGGAGGCCAGGGTGGGGCGGCGGGGTGGGCGTGGCCGGCGGGAAGCCCGCTTCTCCAGCGGGTCSGCGGCCAGCTGCTGGCTGCGTTTCTGGGTGAGTCACTTCCTCCGCCGGGTCTGGCGCCCCCACCATCCTCGCCCCCTCCCCCTCCCAGCCTCTAAATTAAACCAGCTGCGGCCCCATCTTCTCCTTGGCTGGCCCCCTCCCTTTCCGACCCTGGGCAGAATCTGAGGCTGGGCCCTGGAGAAGGGGACAGGGGGGCGCCACCCACTCTCCCTTAGAGMCCCTCCTTCCCAGGGCTGCTCGTCCCTGGCCCACCCTTCTGTATCTTCAGTCCTTCATTCGCTCATCCAGGGCCCTTCCTCTCAGCAGCCTTATGACCTTGGCCCAGTCAACCAACCTCTCTGGGCCTCAGTTTCTTAATCAATAAACACGGGGGCAGGGGTGAGCTGGAGGAGGACAGAGGCTGGGTATATCAGTGAGGGCAGTGATTTCTTTGTAAGAGACACTCTTTTCACACTCATCGCTCCACAAAAAGAGCCATCTTTTCCTCTTTTTGCGTGATGCCGGGAATCAAACCCAGGGCCTCCCACGTGCTAAGTGCACACTCTGCCACGGAGCCACACCCCAGCCCCCAAATCCTCTGATCATTCACKCGGCAGTATATGCTGTGTCCCACTCAGTGCTAGGCAACAGGGATTCAGAAATGTACAAGACAGGACATTTGCCCCCCCAGAGGTCACCATCTGAAGAGGGTCCCTGAGCTTGACCAAAAAGGTTAGATCACGGGCTGGGGATACCACATGCACAAGGCCCTGGGTTCAATGCCCAGCACCACAAAAAAAAAAAAAAAAAAAAAAAGGTTAGATCTGCAAGAGTCTGGGGCCATCAGCACAGCAAAACCCTTAGAGATCTTTCTTCTGCAGCCCCCATTGCGCAAGCGAGCAAACTGAGACCCAGAGAGGGTCAGAGACTAGCTCAAGTCACACAGCAAGGCCAGACTAGAATACGGGTTTCTGGTCTGGTTGGATGAGTCTCCCAGCAAGGTGCAGTAGTGGTGTACCGGGTGACAGACTGGTCTGCTTTAGGGACTGACCAGAGGTGGCCTCAGCTGGCCAAGGTACCCTCAAGTCYACCTGTTCTTCCCTAGTTTCGTGCTGAACCTGGGCAAAGACAGCAACAACCTGTGTCTGCACTTCAACCCGCGCTTCAACGCCTTCGGGGACGCCAACACCATCGTGTGCAACAGCAAGGACGGCGGGGCCTGGGGGGCCGAGCACCGMGAGCCCGCCTTCCCCTTCCAGCCTGGGAGTGTCGTGGAGGTGGCTCTGGGGGGCAGGGCCCTGGGGGGGTGCTGGGTTTGGGGTCTCTAGACCTGGGCCCCACCCTGGGTCCCTCCCTCRCTGCCTGGTCACGGGGTCAGCATGGCCGGGTCCTGCTGCGGCCCGGCTCAAGTCCCTCTCCACCTCCAGGTGTGCTTCTCCTTTGACCAGACGGACCTGACCATCAAGCTGCCAGATGGACACGAGTTCAAGTTCCCCAACCGCCTCAACCTGGAGGCCATCAACTATGTGGCAGCGGACGGCGACTTCAAGATCAAGTGCATAGCCTTCGAGTGACACCAGCCGGCCCAAGGCCGCCAATAAAGGCAGCTGCCTCTGTTCCCCTGAGCCAGCCTCCTGTGTGTGTGTCCGGGGGTGAAAGGTCCCCTGCCTTCACCTCCTCCACGTGTACCGTCTCCCCCTGGGCTCCCCAGACGGAGCAGAGCTCAGCCCACCCTTGAGGGCACCATGGAGGGCACTGAACCCACCTGGTGCCGGGTGGGATGGGAGAAGGTGGAGGAACAACAGCCCCCTCTCATTTACCTTCAGGAGCTCAAAGACGTGGAGTCAGCAGGTGCCGCAGCCCTCTGCCTGCAGCTCCAGCTTCTTAGGAGGATCACCTGGGCCCAGGGGTTTGGGGCCAACCTAGCAAACCGTCTTTGTTGATTGATTGTTGTGAAGTGCTGGGGCTTGAACAGAGACTCCATTTAAGGGGATAAAAAAGATGCATGCTTATCATTCCAGCAACTTGGGAGGATGAGTCATTAGGATCACAAGTTCAAGGCTAGCCTCAGCAACTTGGTGAGACTCTGTCTCAAAAGGAAGAAGAGAGAAAGAAAAGACTTTGGAGGAAAAAAAAAAAAAAAAACCTGGAGTTTTGAAGGAGGGGCTGCCAGCTGTGTGGTCTTGTGCATATTAATTGACCTCTCTGTGCCTGAGTTTATTGTTTATAGAAAGGGAATATTACACACAGCCTATCCTAGGGTTGTTGTGAAGATTAAATGAGATGTCACATGAAGGAGGACAAATTCAGTGCGTGGCTCATGGCAAGTGCCCAGTGGGTGGTGGTTTTCCCTTCCTCCTCACTGCACTGCGTTTTGAGATGTCATGACTCCAGTTTAAAGGAGGAAATGGGCTCTGAATGCAAAAAGGAGCCCTGGTCCTGTGCCAGGCCCAGCTGAGGCTGAGCGGGCCCCATGCATCCGAGCTCTGGTGCCCCTTTGCTGGAGCAAGGACAACCAGGAGGCTAATCTGAAAGCCGCGGTCCCCTGGCCCCTATTGCCAGCCCCCATTTCTGTGCCCGGAGGAGCTGGGGAGGTAAGTGGACCCCTGCAAAGGTCCCAGAGGTAGAGGCCGGCTAATGTGAGGCCTCCTGCTGCCCACAGCCTCTTCCTTGGGGCACAGGAGAGTAGCGGTCACTCTGGGCTTGATGAGGCCTCTAGCTGGTCCTCCATGGTTTTAAAGAGGATGCCTCCTCACGAGCAGCCCGGCTGTTACCTGGTTGACAATGCTGACCTCAAACACCCGGTGCTCACGAGGGACCGGGGTCGGTGGCCCTGTCACCCCGCAAGCCCACCTGTGCCTTTTCCCTCCGTTTGTTGCTGGGCCACATTTTTCCAGGGGCCCTTCTACCCCCCTGGGAAGCAGCTGTGGGAACTCCGTCAACGTTCTGGAAGTCTCAAGTCAGAACGTCACCAGGCGCCCCCAACCCTGGGCACAGTCTCCTGAGTGCGGTGGCAGCTGCTTAGCCACTCCTGTGCTCCAGGACATCTGGCACCCGCTGGGCTGCCTCAGTGTTCTCACCCATATAATGGGGGTCACTGTGGATGGATGAGCTGCATCTTGGTGGGTTCCCTGGGACCTGGTGGCCCACCTCCAGAGAGGGMCAAAGAAGAGGCGGGTCCCATGAGCCACACCCAATCTCCACGCTCTCTTGGGGCTCCCAAGGGCGCCCTCTGCTGAACACCAGGGAAATGTCCCCTAGGCTGCCTCAAGTTGATTTTTTTCTTTTTGGTACAGGGATTGAACCCAGGGGCACTTAATCACCGAGCCCCATCCCCAGCCCATTTTTTATATATATTTTATTTTAAGACAGGGTCTTGATAAGTTGTTCAAGGCCTGTAAGTTGGTGAGGCTGGCTTTGAACTAGAGATCCTCCTGCCTCAGCCTCCTGAGCCGCTGGGATGACAGGCGTGCTCCATGGCACCTGGCCTGTCTCAGGTCTTCGCAGTCCCCCAAACTGATTCTCCAACACTAGCCGAGCACGCACTCTGGACTGGGACTACAGTGTGCAGAGGAGATCCCTGGGGCCAAGAGGAGACCACTGAGCATGAAATCGGATAGACCTGTGTTTAAACCTCACTCCACTGCTATGTGTCCTTGGACCAGTTACTCAACATCTCTGAACCTCAGTTTCCTCATTTGTCAAATTAATACTAGGATCTTCCCTGTGAGGTGGTGGGGGTTAGCTGAGGTAAGGTATATAAATGTCTGGTGCCTGGGAGGATCACAAGTTTAAGGCCAGCCTTGGCAACTTAGGGAGACCCTGTCTCAGAAAATAAAAAGGGCTGGAGCCAGGCATGATGGCCCACACCTGTAATCCCAAAGGCTGGGAGGCTGAGGCAGGGGGATCTCTTGTTTAAGGCCAGCCTCAGCAACTTGGCGAGGCCCTAAACAACTTAGCTAGACCCTGCCTCAAAATCAAAAAAATAAAAAGGGCTGGGGATGCGGCTCAGTGGTTAAAGCAACCCTGGGTCCTGTCTCTGAGGGGAAGGCAGAGGGACCTGGGGGTGGGGGAGAGAAATGTATTGTGCCTGGAACCGACAGGGGCCCTGTAGATGTGATTCCCCTCACCCGCTTTAAGACTCAGGGTACCCCGAGAGCCTAAGAAATGGGGTCCAGAGAAATTAAGAAAAGCCCTGTTCTTAGACCCCTGGACGTCTCCTGCATCTCCTGCTCTTGCCTGTGATCTCAAGCAAGAGACTGCATCTCTCTGAGCCCGTTTCCTCCTCAGCAAAATGGGGATCATGCCCCCCAAGAAATGATGATGTGACCAGCTGATGTGACCAGCTGAGTAAGTGGCAGCTGCCACCGTGATTCTCCCTGMTCGTCTTATCCTCATTTCTATTCAGAGAACACGCCGTGTCCCGCTGCTCCTGGCACACAGGACATGATCGATAGATGCAAAAATAACTTTAAGTAGAAACCCAGCCAACAAGGGTGTGGGTGGTCCTTGTCTCCCTTCCTGGGACAAAGGGACCTGAGACTCCCTGGCAAGGGTCTGGAGCCAACCCAGGCGGCCGACTTCACTCTGCACTGGGTACATTCATGGATGTGGCCTCCCGAGCCCCATAGGACCTGTGGCTGGGGCTGGGCTGGGAGAGGGGTGACCCTGCAGAGCCTGCCACCTGGGTCCCAGGCCAGCAGCTGCCTCACTCATTCTCTGAGCCCGAGAAGAAGCCCTGGGAAGGTCGAGCTGCTCTGTGTCCAGGGCTGCGGGCAGTGGGCAGCTCTGATCCCATCGCTTATTGTGTGGCTTTGGCCAAGTCATTTTCCCTTTCGGAGCCTCTGCATTGTCCTCTGTAAAGCAGGGGCGACGGCTGCTCTGGGAACATGCCTCAGCCCGAAGTCCAAATGAATGACTATGGAGAGGGAAGGGGGCGAGAGAGGCAGCTTTCTGTTTATCAAGCCGGGCCTTCCCGCTTGATCTACAGCCACTCTGAGTGGGGGAGGGGGCATGTTGGCTACTGGGCCAATGTCCCTCAGACCAGTGGCCCAGAGAGCTGGACAAGGAGGCCAAGGAACCAGGTTCAAGTTCCAGCCTTGCCCCAGTCCCTTCTCTCAGAAATAAGTTTGCTTCTTCGTGTGCGCACAGTACACACTCACACCCCCTGCCCTATTTTATATTTTATTTTGAAACAGGATCTCACTGAGTTGCTTAGCGCCTCACTCTTGCTGAGGCTGGCTTTGAACCTGCGATCCTCCTGTCTCGGCTTCCGAAGCTGCTGGGATTACAGCCGGGCACCTCCACACCTGCAAGCCCTGCATGTGATCTAGTGCATGTCAGCTCCAGAAGCRCTGTCCTACAATAAACCTACAAAGTCACGAAAGTTATCGCCATTTTAGAAATAGGGTGAATGAAACACAAGGAAGGCAACTGGTCCTGGGTCACAAGCCTGTAGGTGGGATACCAGACTACAAATCCAAGCAGTTTGGCTCTCATGGAAATCACCAACCATTTGGCATCAGACCTAAATTAGGACCAGAGAATTTTGGCCATTCACGAATAACTCCACGTTGAGCGCCCTCTAGCGGCAGTCACTGTCCGAGGCATGGGGTCTGGCAGGACCATAACCCGAATACAACCCACTGCGGGAGGAGACAGAACAGGAGGCCCCTTTAAAAGGCGGGGCCTGACGGGCGGAACGGCGGGTCCACTTTGCGAAGTGCACCCGGAAGGCCGCGAACGCTACACCCGGAAGTCTCTTAGGCGATATAGGAAGCTGTGCTGGTGGGAACCTCAGCATTATGGGTCGCAACAAGAAAAAGAAGCAGCGAGATGGCGACGACCGGCGTCCCCGGCTCGTTCTCAGCTTCGATGAAGAGAAGCGGCGGTGAGTGGCAGGGCGGGAGAGCGTCCCCCTCGGGCTACCCGGCGAGGCCTAGGTCAGGTCCGGGTCGCGCCCGCCCGCGTGGAGAGCTCTTCCGGCCCCGCCCCGGGGCGTGGCCAGACTGTCCTTCGGGCTCGGCTAGCTCCGCCCGTTGGGGTGGCCCGCTCTCCCCCTGCTCGCCTAGAGCCGCCGCTCGGACCTCGGTAGTCCAGCTGGCTCCGCCGACCCTGCGCCCAGGAGGCGCTCAGCCGTCGCTGATGATGGATGAGCCAATGAAACGAGAGTGGCTTCTCTGCTTTCATTCACTCCCCAGACGCCTGTTGAGCTCCTGCAGTGCCCCAGGCCCAGCGCCCCGCTAGACAAATGGCACAGGGTGGCCACCCCGCGAAAAACCCAGTGCTGGGCGTCAGAACCAAACGGTTCTGACCTAAAGAGCAGCCGGCACTAGGAGATGTAAAAGGGCAGGGGTAGGGAGCGAAATGCCTGGGTCTCACCCGGAAACTCCGAGGGTAAATCAGCAGGTCCTAGGGTGGGGCCAGGGGCCTGGGGAAGTGGGTGTTGGTTCAGTGGAGAACTTCTGCAGATCTGGTGTTCCTGAAAGCCCTGCCGGAAGTGGCTCAATTCCCTGAGCGGTGATATTTGCCAGTATAAAAGGGGCCTCAGCCAGTTCTATGTGTCCACTATCAGCTCTTGTTTGAAGCTGAGAGTTCTGGAGAGTGTAGAGTGGAAAGAGGCAACATATCTCATATTTTGCTAAACTTAGACCGTCCAGCTCCGTGCGATGGCGCACACCTTTAACCCTATGGCTTGGGAGACTGAGGCCAGCCTCAGCAACCTGGTGAGGCCCTGTCTCAAAATAAAAAATAAAAAGTGCTGGGGATGAGGCTTAGTAGTAGAGCACCCCGGGTTCAATCCCTGCTACAAAAACAACAAACAAAAAAAAAGAAAAACAGCTTACACAATCAGATGTTCCATAATGATGATTTGGTAGTGATGGCCCACGTAATGATGGTGTACCATGCCACCTCCATGTGTAGTAGACTATACTATTTAAGTTGGTGTAAATATACTTTGTGATATGTAAACAACAACACAATTACCTAGCAACTCATTTCTCAGACTGTGTTCTTATCATTAAATGGTGCATGACTGTACTCTGTGTGACCTGGGGCAAGTAACCTAGACTGTGTGCCTCCATGTCCCTCTCTGTTAATGGGGCTTGATCCCTACAGGTGAGGTGAGAGGAGGGTTGGTGGGTAGAGCCCTACACACATGGTGCAGCACTGGCTGTGCTCTCTTCCTAAGCCAGTTCTTTCCTTATCTCCTCCAAACTCTTCCTTCCTGTAGGGAGTACCTGACCGGCTTCCACAAGCGGAAAGTGGAGCGGAAGAAGGCAGCCATCGAGGAGATTAAGCAGCGGCTGAAGGAAGAGCAGAAGAAGCTCCGGGAGGAGGTGAAGGAAGGTGGATGGAGGGGGACTTACAGCCCCAGATGGCCCTGATAGAGACGGCCACAGGGAAGGTGGAGGGGTGTGGGGCAGGACAGGACTGAGAAGCCCTTTATACAGGGAGAGACTCTGGCCTGGGACTGGGGAAGGTGGAGGATGGAGTCTCCTCCTGACCTTGAACTATCAGCCGTGGTCCACATGCCCTGAGGTCAGCAGTGCCCCTGCTGAGACTGAAGGAGAGGCCATACTCACTGTGCCCTTCCCATGTGCCCTTAGCGCCACCAAGAATACTTGAAGATGCTGGCAGAGAGAGAGGAGGCGCTGGGTGAGTCCTCCTTGGGCTGACCTGGAGAACAACCAGGGAGGCTGGGCTTCTGGTGTTGGGGGGAGAGGGTGAAAACTGCACAGGTGACCTCCTTAGCTTCAGGGGTCTTGGTGATGACCTGGGCACCAGGGGTGGGCCTCACATATCTCTAAGCACAGTGGATCAGAGACCAGGAGGAGACCCAAACCTCATGGTAAACTGGGCCTGAGCAGAACCCAGTTTCCAAGGACTGGAGGAACTAGTTGGAGGGAGGGGCGRTGGCAGCTCTGGTATCACAGAGTTTGTGAATGGGGTCTGGCCTAGAGCAAGGAGGGAAGAGTGGGTAATTGATAACATCTGTCTGCAGGCCAGGCTCTGGGCCAGGGTGGAAGGGCCCCTGCAGTCCAGGCTTGGGAGGGAGGCTGCAGCTCGGTTGCTTGTTCTGGGGCTGAGGCCTGATCTGTGGCTGCCCTGCAGAGGAGGCAGATGAGCTAGACCGGCTTGTGACGGCAAAGACAGAGTCTGTGCAGTATGACCACCCCAACCACACAGTCACCGTGACCACCATCAGCGACCTGGACCTCTCTGGAGCCCGACTGCTCGGACTACCCCTGCCTGAGGTGGGTCCTGCCCTGGGGCATGCTCGTCATGGGGTTGCCGGATACTGCCCATGTCACAGGTATCGCAGTGCAAGGAGCTCTTGCGGTCTGGACCCTTTAGTCCCTGGCTGCACCACTGGGCAGTAAAGGAACTGCAAGTTTCTTTCTTTTTTTTTTTTTTGGCTGCACCACTGGGCAGTAAAGGAACTGCAAGTTTCTTTCTTTTTTTTTTTT